GTAATTCCTTCTGTTGTATTTTTCATTTCAGATATTGTATTCTCCATTTCTTTCTGGTTCTTGTTCATAGTTTCTGTCCTTTTTCGTGCTGCTATCATTCCCACTAAGTTCCTTGTAATTCTCGCTGAGTACCTAAGCATTCTTATAACCATTACTCTGAATTCTATGTCTGATAGACTGCTTGCCTTAATTTCATGTAGCTCTTTCTCTGGGAATTTCTCCTTTCCTTTCAATTGTGGTTATGTCTCCCCATTTTATGTGACTCTTTTTGTTTGTTTCTGCATCTCAAGTTTCTCTGCTTTGCCTCTCTGTCTTTGTGGGAAGGGCTTCTGTGGTAGGAGTTCTGTGGGACTCAGTGGTGCAAGCTGTTTGATCTCCCAATCTGGATGCTGTAGAGTTGCCCTTTTTTCTGTTTATGTGGGTTTTCTTGTTGTACTTGGGCTTTGATTATTGGTGGCCCATTCATTGGTGAGATCTCCCCTCCAGCCGGCTGACTGGGAGTCACAATTCCTACCATGTTTTGTGTGCTGTTGTACAGGTGGTTTTTTTTTACTAAGCAATATTACCAGAAAACCAGACCCACACCAGCATAAACAACCCCCTACACATCAGCAATATCAACAGAAATTGAGCAAATATATTTTTTAAGATTTTATTTATTTATTTACTTATCTTTAGAGAGAGGGGGAGAAAGGGAGAAAGAGATGGAAAGCAACATCGATGTGTTTTTACCTCTTGCACACCCCATACTGGGGACCTGGCCCACAACCCAGGCACATGCCCTGACAGGGAATCAAATCAGCCATCCTTTGTTCACAGGCTGGCACTCAGTCCACTAAGCCACACCAGCCAGGGCTGAGCAAAGACTACTAAAGGTGCATAGAGCTTAAGAATATTCTAAGATAGGAAAAAAAGAAATATGAGATGACTAAAGGATAGAAAATTGATTTTAAGTTGGAAGAGGGAAGAGAAATAATAAGAGGAAGGAACAGAAATAAGGCAAAGAAAGGGAGGGAATAATATTTAAAATGTAAGTAAAACAGGGAAGGGTGACTGCAAAATAGATTAATAAAAAGAAAGAGTATACTCTGGGGGTTGAAATAAAATTAAAAAGGTAGTGAATCAAAGGGAACAATATTATAGGAAAATGACAGCAGGGTAAATAACTATGGCAGCTGAGCAAAGATTAATAGAGATGGAAAGGGAGTAAGAATATTATACAAAAAAGAGAATATGAGATGTCTACAGTAAAGAAAAATGATTTTGGGAGTATAGAGAGAGGAAAAATAATAAAAGGAATAAAATCCCAGCTAAGAGAAAAAATAAATAAAGTTCCCAACTCAAATAAACAAAGGCAAAAGTAAGGCAAAATGAAGTAAGACAGGGGGAGTGTAACCTATGAGATTTTAAGTACCAAAAAGTAGAGAACAAATAGGAATATCATTGAAGAAGAACAGCAATAACCATAATATCCACACCAAACAAGCCACAATTTATAAAGGTGGAATGGAAGTAAGAATATTAAAAGAGGGAGATAAAGAATGTGAAGTGACTAAAGGAAGCAGGAATGCTTTTGAGAGGATAGAGGAAAGAGAAATAGTAAGAGTAAGGAATAGGAACAAAGCATAGCATTGGGTAAAATAAAATTTATTATGAAAATAAGAAAGGGCAGGAAGAAGGCAAAATAGAGGAAGACAAGGGAAAGGTGCAATGTGAGATTTGAAATAACAATACAATAAAATAATATAAAATCTGAATAAAAAATAAAAGAAAGAATAGTGAATTAGTTGGAATACAGTTAAAGAAGATTTATTAAAAGGCTATGTGAAAGGAAAAAACATGAAAATTCTAAAGAAGAGGAAGTTGAAATTCCCCTCAGCCATTTGGTGTGTGCCTTTTGACTTCAATTTCTGGATCTGCCTCTGGTTATTTTTATCAGGTCCAGGGGTGAGTGGTGCAACTTCCAGCACCACTGTTTGTATTACCCTTACCTGCCTCTAGAGGGAACTACTGTGCAACTGGAAGGGTGTGTCCCCTAGATCTGCCCTGGGAGGCACTTTTCAGTCTTCTGGGAAAATTGTGTTTGTGTTTCCCCTGCCCCTGCAACCCTCGTCTCGGTGTGTCCCAGCTTATTTCCAATAATGTATAATTTCTGATTAATTAGCTGTCAATTTCATGCTGGAGAGGTAATATGTATGAGAGGGTCAGCTCTCTCCTGCTTGGTATTGACTGCAGCTCTATGTTCGAGCAGAGGCTGGTCCAAGCCCTGATTCCCTCTTGCTGCACTGCTTTCTGATCTCCCTGTTTTGTTGGTTTCAGTGAAATAGGGCCTTAGGAGCCAGTGCATTTTGTCTCCATGATAGTTCAAATGGGCCCTTTAGGTGTTCCTCTTGCGGTCTCTCTCACAGAAATGCACCCTGCAGGGTTCTTGAGTCTGACCTGCCTCTTTACCAGATCCTCCCAATCCTGTAGAAGCTGGGGGCTGGGTGGGACCTTCCCTTCCCAGAGGTTCCATCTCCACTGCAGCAAAGGGGGAACTCTGTCTGGCTTTAAATAATCTCAGGTGCACCACTCCCGCCATTTCAGTTCCCAGCACCCTGCCCTCACAGCAGACAGAGGCCCACACTCTCCACTCTGCACAGCCTCTTCTCCACTACCAGCTGCGCCAGGCTGGAGTGGAGAAATCCTGTCGCCGGTAAGGGGATGTACCATTCTGACCAATCTGCTCAGCTTCACTGAGTGGGAGCAAACCATGCTCAGTCCTATCCCCTTGCTAGCAGGGTAGCTGCACACAGGATCCCTGCCCAGTATACCTCATCTCCCCTTTTAAAAAGTCTCTCTGGATACCCCCGCTGCAGCACTGAGTCACTGTCCGACTTTCTGTCCATGCCACCTCTCCAAAAATTCAAGAGTCTCTCAAAGTCATGTCTGGCGGTGACCAGCCTCCTCCACCCTACTCCACCACCCCCACCCCCCCCCCACCCCCCCCCCCCCCCCCCCCCGCCGCCACCACCACCACGCCCCCTCCTTCCCAGATAGTATCCCTCTCTCTTCTCTGGCACTCTCCTGGTTGGCATTTGCTGCTGCATCTGTGGGTATGCTGGTCACTATGTGTGTATGTGTAGCCTGGATCTCCCCAACTTTGTGAATCCAAGTCACTTCCCATCTGGGTCTGGGATTCCCTGCCCTGGGAGGGGAAGGAACCACAAAGCTGTGATTTCTGACCAGGCTCTTCACAGCCGCAGGTTCCAAGCATGAGGTTTTTCTCCTTCCACCTATAGTATCTCCTTACCACCACTGTGAAGCATCTTCTATACTTCTTGGCTTTCATACTGCATATCAAGTAAGATTCCTTTGAATGTTCAGTTTATTTTTTGGAAGATCAGCCAAGTGTCCAAGTTCGATGCAAGAGCAAGTGCACTCAGCTTCCACCTACTTGGCCACCATATTCATTCTCTCAATAATTTTATAACTTCTTTTAAAATTTATATATTTTTATTTTAACATTTGCAATAAGTATGGTGTTGATACTTCTGTTTGTTATGAGGTAAGAGCTTGTTTATTTTCAATATGAAAATTAAGCTATTACCATCATTTATTAGATTGTTCTCTACTGGTTTCTAATTGCACTTTTGTTTTACATCAAGATTCCATATATGCATGGATCTCTTTCTGGTGATCTTTTCTATTTTATTGATCTTTTTTAGTCTATTTTGGTGTCAGTACCACAATGTTTTTACCCATTATTGCTTTATAACAAATCTTAATATCTGTTAGTCTTGTACCTATACCTTGTTCTTTAGTTACTCATGTCACTTTCTTCTCCACTTGAATTTTAGATCACTTTGTCAAATCCTATGAAAAATCTTGTTGGGATTTAATGAGAATCTTATTGCAGTTACTGATGGATGAGAAGAATTGAGGATAATAAATTTTCTCATCTGTAAACAAAAGTCTACTTCCAATGAGTAACCAGTTAGAATATACATATGATTTCTTTATGGATATTTGTATCAGTCTTGCTTGTATATGAAACATTAAAAATTCATTAGAATTTATCAGGATATTCTGGGATTTTCATTGGCTTACTCTGCAAGAGGATGTACAATTTTAGTTTTCTAATCAACGTACTTTTTATCAGATTATTTTTATTTAGTTATTGTGTCTTTCCTGTATTATTTTCTCTTTCAGGAACTCCTACTGTGTTTGGGTGGAGAATTTCTCAAGTTATGGTAGGCTTTCTGAAATTTATATTCTACCTTTTTTTTCTGTGGTTGCTAATTTGCTGTTCACTGCTTCAAAATGGCTTTCATTTTGACAGTTGTAGCTTCCTTAAAGACACAGTGTTCATGAATGTTCTTCTGATGGTATCAGTCTACAGGAAATGGAGGGCTCATATTGAAGAAAGGACCAGTTACATGGGTCATTGTTATCTTTATATCTTGCCTCTTTGAATTAGTTTACTGAAAGCCCTGGTGATTTTTCAGTTGTGCTACCCTCTGTCTGGAAATAGAGGAATTAAAAGAATAAAGGATTACTTGATTTCTTGCAATGACTTCCCTTTTCCCTTTTCCTCAGTACTATATCTAAACAAAATTTCTTTTTCTCTTCTGCTTGGTAGTCAGCATCAATATATAGTGTTATTGAAGAGTTTTCTAAATTTGTATATCTTGATGGTTATTTTGGTGGGAATTTAGCATGAAGGATAAAGTGAAAGGATAGGATCTAAAAGATCTGCTTTTTTCTTGACATTTTTGTTATTGTTTATTTTTATTTCAATTGCTGACTTTGTCTCAGTAATTTCTATTTATTTATGTAGATTTTTGAAGGGAGCAGAGAAGAAAGCAATGTCATTACATATTCCATTATTTTCTTAGATGACCTACATACTAAGGGTATCAACATATAGATAATCCACAAAAATTTACAGTGTAAACATTTTTTTTTGCTGTTTTTACTGCAGAGCTTACATATGTGGTAAATATTTCTTTTTATTTCAGAAATTGGTGTCAAGTGGGATAACCTTTGGACACCAGCCAACCTTGAGGATAACCTCATATTTGGCTATATGATGGGAATGCTTTTAGTTGATGCTTTCTTATATGGCCTTGTGACCTGGTATGTAGAAACTGTCTTTCCAGGACAGTATGGCGTGTCCCAACCATGGTACTTTTTTCTTATGGTGAGTACTAATGCTGCTGTTACTATGAAAGGTCATAGTTCTTATTTCATGACATTTAGAATCTAATCATAAGGTCAGGTACAGAATCATTTTTATTTGTATATCGACCATACTAAAATGCCCATTTCATGATACACATTAAAGCATTCTACATATATAAATGCATATACCTATAGATAAGACACTGAAACCTCATACATTAAAAATTATGAGTATCAAAACCCTTCTTCAGTCAAGTGATACATAGTGTATTTGATTGAAGAATAAAAATACCTAAAAGTCTCTGCAAAACTTGTTCCCAACTAACTTATTGTGTTAGTTTCTTAGACACTAGTGAGGAGAACATTAACTATTTCCTATGTCTGTGTTCTCACCACCTGCTTCTTTTCAATCGCTAGACCGATGTACTTAGAGTAGAACATCTGCATTTTTCCCACCATGTTATGCCCCCTGACCATTACTGGATTATGATACAAAGAAGATGCGTTGACCAAGTGTAATAAAATGCATTGGTCATGATCTCACATTTTAGTAATTCCATTGTGTTCCTACTTCTTGAATACTAGCATTTTAAAAGAGTTTTTGCTTCTTAACTCTGGAGATTCAAATCATACACAAATTTGCTGCAAAATATAACTCTTGAAAGTATGCTGTAACTTTCTCCATCTCACAAAGTAAACTAAGCCAAAATGTTTTCAAGTTCTTATCATGCCTCATTTCTGTTTTTCACATTTAAATTGTAATTCAGTTGAAATTCATGTAACTTAAAATTGATGATTTTAAAGTGAGCAATTCATCATCATTTAGTATATTTACAATGTACATGCACATATCTAGTTCCAAAGTATTTTCATTACTCAAAAATAAAACCCTGTATCAATTAAGAAGTCACATTTTTTTTCTATTTTAAGCCTCTAGCAACCACTGATCAATCAGCTTTCTTATATGGATTTACCTGTTCAAAATATTTCATATAACAGAATCATACAATATATGGCCATTTGTGTTTGGCTTCTTTCACTGAACATAATGTTTTGAGGTTTCTCCATGTTATAGTATATATCAGTACTTTATTCCTTTAGATGCTGAATAATATTCCATTTTATTGAAAATATTCCATTTTATGTATATAAAATATCCTTTATCTATTAATCTGTGGTTGACATATAGGACATCTTTTGCCTATTTGAATAATTCTGCTATGAATATTTCTGTACAAGTATTTGTTTGAATACCTGTTTCAGTTCTTTTGGGAAAATACTGAGGAATAGAATCACTAGTTCATATGGAAATTCTATGTTTCATATTTCAGGAACCACAAAACTGTTTATCACAGTGGCTGCACCAGTTTGCATTCCCACAAGCAATATATACCAGGGCTCCAATTTCTACACATCCTCACAAACACTTATTATTGTTCTTTTTTTAAGATTTTATTTATTTATTTTTAGAGAGGGAAGGGAGGGAGGGACGGAGGAAGAGAGAGAGAGAGAGAGAGAGAGAGAGGAGAGAGGAGAGAAACATCAATGTGCGATTGCTGGGGGCTGTGGCCTGCAACCCAGGCATGTGCCCTGACTGGGAATCGAACATGCAATGCTTTGATTCGCAGCCTGTGCTCAATCCACTGAGCTACGCCAGCCAGGGCTTATTATTGTTCTTTTTTATTATAGCCATTTTTGTGGGTCTGAAATGGCATCTTGTGGTTTTGACTTGCATTTCTCAAATGACAAATGATGCTGAGATCTCATCATGTATTTGTTGGCCATATGTAAATATTCTTTAAAGAAATGTCTGTTCAGTCCTGTGCCCATTTTTGTAATTGGGTTGTTTGTCTTACACTAGACCCAGGTATATGATTTGTAAATGTTTTCTTCCATTCTGTGAGCTGTTTTTTCATTCTCTTCATAGTGTTCTTGCACTATCTCTTGATTTGTTCATACACAAATCTTCACATCTTTGTTAAATCTAGTTAATCATGTTTTTGGTTGCCTGTGAACTTGGTATTGTATCTAAAGATCAACTGTCAAATCCAAGGTCATAAAGATTTACTTGTATGTTTTCTTCTAACAGTTTGCTGGTTTTATATTTTATATACTTGATATAAAACCTTGATCAACTTTGAGTTAATTTTTATAGAGTATGAGGTATAGATCCAACTTCATTCTTTGGCATGTGAATATCTGATTGTGCCAAATCCACTCTTTGAAAAGACCATTATTTCCCCATTTAATGGTTTTAGCACCCTGCATGAAAATCAGTTGGCCATGGATGTATGGGTTTATTTCTGACCTTTCAATTTTATTTCAGTGCCCTGTATGTCTATCCTTAAACCAGTATCACATTGTTTTGATTACTGCAGTTTTAATAACAATTTGAAATCTGGAAGTGTGAGTCCTCTAACTTTATTCTTCTTTTTCAAGATTGTTTTGACTATTAGAGGGCCCATGCAGCTCCATATAAACATGAGAATCATCTTTTTATTTCTGCAAAAATGGCCATTGGAATTTTTTAACTGTATTTTATTGATTATGCTACTACTGTTGTCCCATTTTTTCTCCTCTTTATCCCCCCTATGCCTTGTAGCCCCAACCTCCTGCATTCCCCTCCCCCCACTTAGTTCATGTCATATAAGTTCCTTGGCTTCTCTATTTCCCATACTATTCTTAACCTACCCTCATCTATTTTATGCCTGTCAATTATGTTTCTTATCCCTTGTACCTTCCTCACCCATTTTTCCCCTCCCCCTCCCCATTGATTACCCTCCATGTGATCTCTATTTCAATGATTCTGTTCCTATTCTAGTTGTTTGCTTAGTTTTAGTTTTTGTTTTTTAGGTTCAGTTGTTGATGGTTGTGAGTTTGTTGTCATTTTACTGTTCATATTTTTTTATCTTCTTTTTCTTAGATAAGTCTCTTTAACATTTCATATAATAAGGGCTTGACAATGATGAACTCCTTTAAATTGAGCTTATTGGGGAAGCACATTAGCTGCCCTTTCATTCGAAATAGTAGCTTTGCTGGATAGAGTAATCTTGGGCATAGGTCCTTGCCTTTCATAACTTTGAATACTTCTTCCCAACCCCTTCTTGCCTGTAATATTTCTTTTGAGAAATCACCTGATAGTCTTATGGGCACTCCTTTGTAGGTAACTCTCTCCTTTCTTCTTGATGCTTTTAAGATTCTCTCTTTATCATTAATCTTGGATATCTTAATGATGATATGCCTTGGTGCGTTCCTCCTTGGGTCCAATTTCTTTGGGATTCTCTGGGCTTCCTGGATTTCCTGGAAGTCTATTTCCTTCACCAGATTGGGAAAATTTTCTTTCATTATTTGTTTAAATAAGTTTTCAGTTTTTTTTCTTCTTCTTCTCGCAGTCCTATGAATTGGTTCTTGGAATATTTATAGTTGTCCTAGAGGTTCCTAAGCCTCTCCTAATTTGAATTCTTGTTTCTTCATTCTGTTCTAGTTGAATGTTTATTTCTTCCTTTTATTCTAAATCGTTGATTTGAGTCCCACTTTCCTTCACTGTTGCCTCCCTGTATATTTTGCTTTATTTCACTTTGGGTAGCCTTCCTTTCTTCTTCATTTTGCAAGAAAGCTCAATCAATTCTGTGAGCATCCTGATTACCAGTGTTTTGAACTCTGCATCAAATAGATTGTCTAACTCCTCATTGGTTACCACTTTTTCTGGAGCTTTGATGTGTTCTTTCATCTGGGCCATATTTCTTTGTCTCAGTATACCAATCTAGATGAATGTTTCTTTAATCCTTGGTTGTCAGAGTTGCATGCAGTTTGCTATTCTGGCAGTTCTGGTTATTTTTTGTGTTTAAATTGGTTGTTATCCTTCTTTTGGTTGTGTGAGGAAGCAAAGCATTTCTACCTGTAACTCCATCTTAGCTGAAACTCTCAGCACTTGAAGTTTTATAAAGATTACACTGAGTATGTTGATTACTTTAAATATTATTTCCATATGAAAGATAATATATTTAAGTCTATGTACTTTATATATTTATGTCTTCTTTAAATTGTTTAAGCAAGGTTTTATAGTATTTAGTGTATAAGTATTTATTTTTTTATTTTTTTATTGCTGTTCAAGTACAGTTGTCTCCATTTTCTCCCCACCATTCCTTCCCACCCCACCCATTCCCACCTCCCACCCTCCACCTACCCTCCTTAGACTTTGTCCATATGTTGGTTAATGTTATTCCCAACTATTTTACTCTTTTGGATGCTATTTTGAATGAAATTGTTAATTTTCTTTTTGTATTTTTCAGTGCTGGTATATAAAAACACAGTGGATTTTTGCATGTTACTTTTGTACTTTGTTGAATTTTTTTATTAGCTCTGGTAACATGTGTATGGGGGGGATTCTTTGGGCTTTTTTATATGTAGAAATACTTGTATTATGTCATCTTCAAATATAGTTTTACTTATTCTTTTCCAATTTGGGTGTCTTTTATTTCTTTTTCTTGCCTTGTTGTTCTGGCTAAAATTCACAGTGCAGTGGTGAATGGTAGGGATAAAAGCAGATATTCTTTTAAAGGAAAAGCTTTCAGTCTTTCACCATTGAGTATGATGTTAGGTGTGCATTTTTCATATATGCCCTTTGTCATTTTTAGAAAGTTCTCTTTTATTTCTAGTTTTCTGTTTATTTTTATCACAAAACACTTTGTAAAAGGTTTATTTGCATCAGTTGAAATGATTATGTAGCCTATCCCATTTGTTCTATTAATGTGATATATTACATTGATTGGTTTTCATATGTTGAACCACCACTGCATTCCTGGGATTATTCGCACTTGATCATGATTTATGATCTTTTTGATATGCTATTGGATTCATATGCTAGATTTTGGTTGAAGATTTGCCATCTCTATTCATAAGGGATATTGGTTTGTAGTTTCTTTCTTCATGATTTCTTTGTCTGGCTTTGGTGTCAAAGTAATGCTAAGTTCATAAAATTAGTTAGGAAGTATTTCCTCTTCTTATACTTTTTGGAAGGCTTTAGTAAGAATTCATGTTGATCTTGTTTAAATGTTTGGTAGAATTCAACAGTGAAGCCATCTGGTCCAGCACTTTTCTTTGTAGGGAGGTTTGGATCCCTGATTCATTTCCTTTACTTGTTATAGGCTGTTCAGTTAGAGTGCTTCACTTCTTAATACTTCTTTTGGTAATTACTTTTTGGCTTTCTTTTTAGCATTCATACTGGTATGGTCATCCAAGAATTAGAAGGAAAAGGGAAGAAATGAAAGGCTGTGGAAGAACTCAAAACAAATATTATGAGGCTGAATCAACTAGCTTGGTGGCAGGTATCCAGATCGAACACTTACACAAGGTATTATTTCAAAGGGAAAACCTTTTATCAGTACCTGCCCAGAAATCCTGGGCAGGCCAGTTGGTGGGGATAATGGACAGGATAGATGGCAGCATCCATGGATGAGCCAGCTCATCCATGGATTCATGTGTGGGCCAGATACTTTCATCCACAGACAAACAGTCCTGGTGCCAAATTCTGCAGATGTTTGGGCAGGATGCATTGACATGCCTGATGCCACAGGTGAGACTGGTGACTTTACTTCTCTTTTAGTTAATGTCTACCTGGTATATTTTCCCCATTTTTTTTACTATTAACCTATTTGTATCTTTATAATTGAAGAACATTTTTGTATAATTGCTGCTTTTTAATTGAGGTGTTTGGGCCATTCACATTTTTTTCTTTTTCTTTTTCTTTTGGTTGTTATGGATGTTTACTTCCCTTTTATTACTAATTAATCTCAAAATTAAAATAATTATAAACTACGTTTAATTTTACTTTATTTTTATTGACACTATTACAGGTGTCTGCATTCCCTGCCCCCACTATCACACTATTTTTCCTCAGCCCATCACCACACCATTACATATATATATGGATAATATATATATATTCTTTGACTAATCCCTCCAATTCTTTCATCCACTCCCCCCTCTCCACTCCCCTCTGACAGCTGTCAGTCTTTTCTATGTATCTGTGCTTCTGTTTCTATTTTGTTGGTCAGTTTATTTTATTCATTAGATTCCACAGATAAGTGAGATCACATGGTATTTGTCTTTCTCTGACTGGCCTATTTCACTTAGTATAATAATCTCCTGTTCCATACATGCTGTCCCAAAATGTAAGAGTTACTCTTTTTTTACTGCCTTGTAGTATCCCATTCTATAAATATACCACATCTTTTTTATCCACTCATTTACTGATGGGCACTTGGGCTATTTCCAGATCTTTGCTGTTGTAAAAAATGCTGCTATGAACATAGGGGTTGCATATGTTTTTTCAAACTGGTGTTTCAGGATTCTTAGAATATATTCCCAGAAGTGGAATCTCTGGGTCAAAAGGCAATTCTATTTTTATTTTTTTTTGAAAAATGTCCATTCTCTTTTCCACAATGGCTGTACCAGTCTGCATTTTCACCAACAGTCTATAAGGGATGCCTTTTCTCCACATGCTCACCAGCACTTATTGTTGATTTCTTGATGGTAGCCATATGACAGATATAAGGTGATATCTTATTATGGTTTTAATTTGTATCTCTCTGATAATTAGTGATGTGCATATTTTCATATGTCTATTAATTATCTGTATGTTCTCTTGGGAGAAGTGTCTATTCAGGTCCTCTGACCATTTATTAATTCAATTTTTGTCTTTTTGTGTTGAGTTATATAAGTTCTTTACATATTTTGGAAATTAACCCCTCATCAGATGTATCAATGGTGAATATACAGTAGGTTCCCTTTTCATTTAGTTGATGGTTTAGTTTGCTGTGCAGAAGCTTTTAAGTTTGATGTAGTTTTATTTGTTTATTTTCCCCTTTATATTTTTTGCCCTAGGAGACATGTTGGCAAAATGTTGCTATGAGAGATATCTGAAATTTTAGTGCCTGTGTTGTCTTCTACAATTTTAATGATTTCATGACTTCCATTTGTCCTTATTCATTTTGAGTTTATTCTTGTGTTTTGTGTAAGTTGGTGGTCTAGTTTCATTTCTTTGCATGTGCCTGTCCAATTTTCCCAACAACTGTTAGTGAAGACTGTGTTTACCCCATTGTATACTCTTACCTTTTTTGTCAAATATTAATTGACCATATAGGTGTTGCTTAATTTCTGGGCTTACTGTTCTTTTCCATTGATCTATGTGCCTTTTCTTATGCCAGTACCAGTCTATTTTGATTACAATGGCCTTGTAGTATAGTTTGATATAAGATACTGTGATACCTCCAAATTTGTTCTTCTTTTTCAAGATTGCTGAGGCTATTTGCAGTCTCTTTGTTTTATATAAATTTTTGGAATATTTGTTCTAGTCCTGTGAAATATGCCATTGGTATTTTAATAGAAAGTGCATTGAATCTATAGATTGCTTTGGGTAGTATATCTTTTCTCTTGAAATATAGAATTTTATTTAGAAACTCTTTAAAGTAGAAAAACACTTTCAAGAAAGACCAGGTGGAAAATGGATTGCCAGCAAAATGGAATTTTAAGTCAACAGAAGTTGAAAAGGCCACAAAAGAGAAATAGTACTGCTGTTATTTAAACAATGGCTAGTTACTTGCATTTTTGGCATTGTTACCATCCAAATCTGGATTTTACTCTGAATTTCACAAAGAGCATGCACTACACAACAATTTCTCATAAAACTCCTGCTTTCTACACATATTTTAGGACAAACTACCACCAGAAACAAATCAGTACAAATACCTAAGGAGCTGAATAATCTCAGTAGTAGGTGACACACATTTTGCAGAGTTCAAAGGAACTAAATAGACTGTGAGCAAACAAATGAGGGAGTGCTAAGGAATGAAATATTTTAAATATTAATAATTAATTCAGAAATGGTACTGTATTTTCTGCAAAATAAAATTAGCATTTAATATACCCTAAGAATCCTGAATCATCAATGCAGAAGAACTTATTCACCCATATGTTCATAGTGGCACTATTTACAATAGCCAAATGCTGGAAAAGCTAAGTGCCCATCAGTAAATGATTGGGTCAAAAACCTGTGGAACATCTACACAATGGAATACTACACAGCAGAAAGAAAGAAGGAAGTCCTACCTTTTGTGGCAGCATGGATGGAGCTATAGAATATTATGCTAAGTAAAATAAGCCAGTCAGTGAAAGACAAATACTATGTCATCTCACCTCTAAGAGGAATCCAATGAGCAATAAACTAACAAACAAAATAGAACCGTAGGCATGGAAACATGGAACAGATTGAAAGATTGACAGAGGGGAGGGAGAGGGAAATAATGATGGAAATAAGGAGAAAGGACTAGACAAAGAACATGTGTGATTGACCCATGGGCATGGACAACAGTGTAGGATTGACTGTGGGAGTGGGAGATGGGATGGGCAGAGGAGGGCAAAGGGGGGAAAATTGAGACAACTTTAATAGAATAACAATAAAAATGATTTTAAAATGACATGCCAATGAATTTTATTTCCAAAGAGAAATACTCTGGCAAAGTATTCTGTTAGTAGTGGAGGGCTGTGCACAGCAGGTACCCAAAACACCCAATCTTGCAAATCCCAAGGTAACATTGGCCTTCACTCATCACTCTTTTTGTCAGAGGCACAAAAAGGACTTGCAGAATAATCACCTGCTGGCTGAACTTCCACTCTAAGCAGCAAACATTTTTTTACTGATGAGCTATTTTATTTTATTTTTTAGTAGAGATTTTATTTTATTTTATTTTTTAAATTACTTCATTGTTGTTCAGTTACAGTTGTCTGCATTTCCTCCTCACCAATTACCCCTCCCAGCCAGACCCACCTTGCTCCCTTGCTTCCACCCTCCCCCTTGGTTTTGTTCCATGTATCCTTTATAGTAGTTCCTGAAAACCCTTCTCCCCACTGTCCCTTCCCCTTACTCCTCTGGCTATTGTTAGATTGTTCTTAATTTCAGTGTCTCTGGCTTGAACACACACTTCTCCAAGGAGGACATACAGAGGGTCCAGAGACATATGAAAAGATGCTCATCATCACTAGCCATCAGAGAAATGCAAATTAAAACCATGATGAGATACCACCTCACACCAGTCAGAATGGCCATCATAAACAAATCAACAAACAAGTGTTGGAGAGGATGAGGAGAAAAGGGAACCCTAGTGCACTGTTGGTGGGAATGCAAACTGGTGCAGCCACTGTGGAAAACAGTATGGAATTTCCTCAGAAAACTAAAAATGGAACTGCCTTTTGACCCAGCAATTCCACTGCTGGGATCATACCCCAAGAGCCCTGATACACCAATCCAAAGAATTATGCACCCCAGTGTTCTTAGCAGCACAATTTGCAATAGCCAAGTGCTGAAAGAAACCTAAGTGCCCATCAGTAAATGAACGGATCAACAAACTATGGTACATTTACACAGTGGAATTCTATGCAGCAGAGAGAAAGAAGAAGCTCCTACCCTCTAAGCAGCAAACTTTAAGGAGCCATAAAGGAGTCTTCAGTGGGCAAAGGAAGAAGAGATATATGTTAAATATAAACTTAAAAGACAGTAAAATGGGACACAGCCCCATTCAATTCCCAAAAATGTGGGCAAGTCCCCAAAAGTTGTTTTTAGATTTAAAAACTGAACCCACCTCATTTCCCAAAAAACATAATACATAGAAATTTAGGGGTAATTGGAAAAATCATTAGAGAAATGTTCAATGCAAATCAAGCTATTCAACTCAAACATCTCGGGGTTCAAACGCACCTTCTATTCATTCAGCAAACAATGTCTCTTTCTTTTTAGCAGAGTTGCATTTGGTCAAAGACACCAAATGGTTTTACAGAGCAAGTTTTTAAACTTTCATTCCAGGCCAAGGTTATGAAGATTAAGGCATCCCTACAAGGCCTGTGATCAGCAGGTTCCAAAGTTCCAAGGTTTGGTCTTTCCTTCCCAGATACAATGACAACACACAAACTCTCCTGTCAGGTTACATTTCATACTTTGAACTATGGAAGCATATTTTAAATACTCTAAAGGCATTTATTTATTAAAACATTCTCTGCCAAGATTTCACATTAACTTAAAATTCAAATCAGTCTTTACTGCAGCATATCACATAAAAACACTTTCTCCATCACTTAGTGTTATCAGCATCCATATGGTGAATCCATGGTCAGCCTTTTTGTTCCCTAGGTGAACCCACTAGATGTTAGTACTGCTCTGCTACAAGGTAAAAACTCCTAACTCAAACTTACTGGAAAAGGAGTGAAACTTCCTCAAAGTGCACTTTAAGAAGAGGTACTTTTTAATTATGAAAAGAAACCAGTGAGTCCTCTGAGAATAATAAAAGGGAGTATTTTACA